AAACTCTTATAACTTGATAAGTATGAGATGTTTCAGGAACACTGGTATTTTATGAATCAAAGAGTAAGGTACTAGAAACGCAGCCTATTTTTTAACGTAGCGCACTGTCGACCCTTTATAGAAATTACATGCATCTTGATTACTTTGAAAATAGGATTCAAAGATAACTCATGCAACTGGTCGATTTCATTCTATGATGGCCAGATGGTTAATCTTTTGTGGTGGCTTTTGCTTGCTCGAAACGAGCTACAAAGTCGTCCAGGCGTTAACTAACGAAAAAGATTTAACAGGAATTACTCTTCATCTATACAAATCTCCTAGCCATTCAGGGTTCTGGTAAACACATTATGAAGGCTAAACCGTGTTCAATGATTTTCAACAATCCGTAATTGTCTATCTCCTCTAACCAGATACTTCAACATTGAGTAGCGGTATATTGCAAATGCGCTAAAATTGTCAATGTCTAATATCTCGGACTGCGTCGCGCTTCTATAGGTTGAGAAACAAAAATTGTCTGAAGTCACACCTTGACTTTCAACATATTTTTTTACGATGCTGTTAGAATAGTTGAAATTTATTCTATTCTAGTAGAAATCTAGAAACAAATTACAGTACCGGGTTTAATAGTCCGGATTCGTTTTCTTGTAACGCCACATTTTGGTAAATGAAACCTAAAAACTGCCGTTATTAAGATTTTGCTGTTAAACGATGTATGTCCCTTTGTATCGAACCTTTAGGAGTTACTATGCATTATGCATGGAATACTGTATTTTCTGCTAGTGCCTGCTATGTATCTCTTTCTAACGATCTACTCAGTGATGAATCTGCATGTGGTCGTATGGGGTACGCGCGAAAAGCCACCAACAGCGGAAGAACAAAGAATCAAAGAAGAAGAACAGCAAGTTAAATATGGTAAGTGCTAATAAATGTGACACTCTCGGGAAAACACCAAGTTGAAACACTATAAAGTTCACGGTAGCCGCTACTTGCATGCTTCTCTTAAATACTACAGAATACAATACAATTGGCAGGTCTAAAACCCCTCAAATCCCTTTTAGACCCCCTTACAAAATATAGATATGAGTCGATTTTTTCGAATCTGAGTCGGGCTCCAGTTGACGTTTCAGCGATGTTCGTGATTTAGTTCGGCCCACCGTTAGTCGGCGTGCAGAAAACGCAAGAATCAAGCTAGCCTTCGAGCGATATCAACTAGACGTACCAAAAATTGTTACTAGGAGACTATACGATTTATCTCTTTGCGAACCCATAGCAGGCATGAACACCTCCGCATCGCCGTAGATGGTTAACTCCAATTAAAGTGGCATTCTGTTTTGGCGCGTGGTAATCGATAGATCAACTGATATATAATATAAATCCTTAATTATATCATTTTATTGATTTGTAGCTGAAAAGGCGAAAAATTCGATCGTTCGCCAGTTGATCAATGCGATCCTAAACTGGCGCAATGGCGACACTACCCTGAACAACACTTTGGAGGAGCTCACTTCAAAAATAGACAAAGTGTTGACGATAGTGGGTTCCTCAAATACTGAGATAAGCGCATCATCTGGCGGGCTAACCAACAGTAACCGTAGCGATAACGAACCACAACAATCAAACGCAGGTACGTTGTGTTTATTTGTCAATTATATCATATTCGAATCGTAAACAGAATCTATTTGAATTATAAGACTATGGTCAACAATGCGCAAATGAGATAACGTTGTGATAGCATCAATTTGTGTGGTCTGGGCGGGCAGCATATTCATCTAGATAATTATAATAGTGTAAAAGATATCCATTTGTAAATAGAATTAATTTGTGATGGCTTAAGAGCTGTCTAGCAAGAGCTTAAAGAGAGCCCATGAACACTTGCACGCTTCTCTCGTTCTAAATTCTGTCGAGGCTGAATGTTCAAATTCGAAATTAAATAAGTGGTACAATGTTCAGCATATCATAGACATTATCATTATATGGCTTCAGCTTATCAGATTGACAGAAGCAATATTTGTGCCACTGCTGCGAAAGCCCTTTTTCTCACTAAACCGATGTGGATGGCGTTGCATCGAAACATACGATAACAGTACATCCGGTAGGACTAGAAAATTCGAAGCACCAGGCTTGAAGCAACGCGCCCAGAAACATATATAGCTCTTGTATGTTAACGATGGTTAACAACTGTTTAAAGTAGAACATTAGAAAAAAGCTGCAGAAACATATCAAAGTATAGTAGAGAAAATTCCGACTGCGGGACGCCTTGGAGAAGCTTTTGCTCAATTAACTTCACCGGTCTAAAGATTCATTCTTTTGAATAGTAACGCTGCGCTCTGTCTAAATCTAAGCCTGTATCTTTGCGCATTCTCATTCTTTATACGTCTTCTGTTACTAGTTTTCAATCTCCATTTTATTGCGCTTGAACGTGGCATAAGGAATTGGTTAAATGTCATGTAATAGGCTGTATTGTTATCCGGCAGGCCATTTAAGACAGGACGACGGTAAGAAGTAAGGCGTGAGTGACACCGAATAGGGTCTATATGTGTTAAGGATTCATATAGTAATATTAGTAGTCTGCATGGAAGATACGGAAATTCTATAAGGATTATCATACGTTTGTATGCAGAAACTGAAGGCGAAGAAAACAAGGTTGAGTGCGATGTCTCTGAAGTCGCAAAAGAGGTGGATTTACCCCTGTGGAAAACAGAAAGAATGTGTGCGTGGCAATCTGATCCTGAGGTTCCTACAGGACCGAACACAGAACTGCATGAACATGAAGTACGATTCTGGAACGATATGTTGGATGTGAGTATTGAAACAGTGTTAGAGATGCGGTTAACGACCAGGTGAACCAACGACAGTAAATAAAGTTGACGTAATCTAGCTTTAAATGGTATAATGTTAGTCGAAAAACTGTTTGGCTGAGCCAAATCTAAAACTAGTTACAATATTTTTTCTTATTATGTTCAGCCTATAAAATGGAGTGCTTCGGGCGTAGGCGCACAAAAAACATATCGAAATATAGACACATGATCGTAATAGTCATCATTAAATATTTGACCTAAATATCTGTTTGTCTGAGATGATCTATAAGGCGATGGCCTATCGGCTAGAACACGACCTTGACGGCTCTATTTTTAGCTATCAACGAAAAAATTGTTGACTTCAAGTATCGTTACACCTCAGCGCAACTTCAAATCTTATATGAATATGTTATTTGTTATGTTATCATTACAGGAATTTCTCAGACCACCTGAAGAATCAATTCAGGATCGGAAAGCGATGCAGAGAAGTCTCATTGAGCTCCGGAACAATATCTGTTCTGCCTACTTCATGTTGAACGCTCTCTATGTTTTGGCCCTGTTTTTTCTGCAAATCAATAAGGACAGCCTTTTCATAGAATGGCCTTTTGGTGGAAATCACACTATCCAATTTGTGCCGATCACAAGGGTAACTAAGATTCACAAATGTCAAACATATTATATATGTCATAAGTGGTAGACCAAACGTGTAGCTTAACTACTTTATAATGACGGAATATTGAAAGTCTCCGATTTTTTTTTTCGGCATCAACCGTAGGCTAGTTTTGTATTTTATAATGTATATTTGTAATTTAGTTAGAATTCATTGTCGGCTAGCATCTTTTCAAAAACCGTAAATACATTAAAACACATACATAGAGGATTGCATCGAAAATGCTGGGGGTGACAAGTAAGAAAATGAAAGCTTAATGATTCTAGAACAAAGGGCCTAGAAGAAATACAAAGTACTCTTAAAATGAATGTACTTAACTGCAAGTTTCTCTAACCGAGACAAGAGTATATGCAAAGTAGACTTTCCTAGTAAACTTTTTTACGACAACTTATTTGATTGATCTACTAATTTATCTTGTTTCTTTTGTTCTGTGTTTTGGCGGCGACTACAGCAAGTAACAATTACGCGATACTACCTTCATCTCGACCCAATTGGACTTGGCTTCGTGGTATTCTTTGCCGTTGTACTGTTCGTACAATTTTTGGGAATGCTATTACACCGGCTTGAGACATTCAAATATGTTTTGGCTGTTGCCACGGTACGGGGTCAAAACAGCCGAATTGGACGACGAGGAACTATAACTCAAGGCAAGTTGAATTCACAGCGGAAAACTACGGCGCTTTCTGAAACCGAGCAATCGGATACAGAAAATAAGATGACATTTTAATTGAAGGCTGCATAAAAATAAAACTATCGAAGTCTCTACAAGTTCTACCCCAATACCCGGTATATTAGGGCGTTCGATCATCATAGCAAAGCCTCCACTAATAACCAGCACGATATCATTGGCCTAATCATAAATGAGCCAGAACTCACTAAATATTAACCGCTGGGAAAAGTGATTATAAATTAAACAAGCTTACAAATTGTACTACTCAAGCTGCTTTCTTCATTGAAATTAATTTAAATAGAGAATGAAAAGTTCGACTGAAACCAAGCCGTTCTAAGCATACGTATAATTCTCCAGCTGTAGGTCATCAACCGAGTGAACTACTGAGTAACGATAGTCTCCATTCTGCGATATCTGAAGAAAGGCACGCTGACATTACTGACAAACTGGCCGAGACGGAACAAGCTACAGAAACAGCCTGTGATGAAGTCATACAACTATGCGACACCCTGCCCTTCATACGTTCTAATGTGTCCTCGACGGATACTGGAGAATCGAAGGAACGTATTGATAATCATGGTAGGTTGTCGTGGGGCGATAGGTGTTGCTGTCTTTTGGGCTCATCCGTTTTCGTCGCATTAGTAAAAAATAACCAAAGCAACTTCCCAGAAGTTCCTTAAACCAGAATCTGAAATCCCCTCTAGCGGTATTGTCATGCATAATCCTTTCGGGCAGAATCTTGCTACCATTTAGTCGCAAGCGGATCTGTCTTTGTGCTAAAGGAGATGTGGCACAAGTTGGTATTTGCTGTTAAGCTAAGAATAAGGTGGGTTTGCGGAAAAACGCTCTCATGTTGTTCGTACTACAATTCATTTTGTTGCATGTAGATCATCCCCCCGGCGCACAAGGCGATGCGAATTACGACCTTCTAGCAATCCAGTTGGAGCATTCGTCCTCGGACGCTTTGGCGCAGACAACAGGCAATGCTGCGTCGGCCGATAGCCAAGACGTTCCATTCTACGAGGTTACACTCGTTGATCAGCACTTTGTCCCGTCGAACGAACTCACAAATCGGACACATGCCAGTATGTTACGATGTGGGCTATTTATATACAGAGTTCGTTAAAGATTTTTAATGTTGCTGGGAAACTCTAAACAATGGTACAAACGGCCTAACTTAGACTTCATCTTGTCTCAAGCAAGTGTTCTGGTCCTTAAATGCTTTGTTCGTGCAGTTTTATGTAAAGTGAAGCTTACCAAATTGAATTAGAGCCTTTTGTTGTCAGGTGACTCATCAGAACTCAACGAATATTCGATGTCGAAATATTCTAGAAAAAAACGACAAGGTGTTGGATCGAAAGCGGTTTCTGTCACGTGGACTCACCTGGCGTCTTCCGCGGATTCCAAGAACCATTTCTGATAAGATCGAAATGGTTTCCGTAACTACCAATGAAAGTAAGAAAGCTGTCTACGACTATTTCGTACGGTACATCAAAGTATGTTTATTTCGAGTGCAAGTAAGTCTACGTGTAAAAGGTTATTGTATTAATTTCACTGCTCATCTGTTGTTTTGTCAACTACTATGCTACGGAACACGAATTTCGGCTCTCTATGGTGCTTTGGTGTAGTTCTCACATTTATATTCGAAGCTGGCTCACAAACTTGTATCGATTTACTTTAGCATTACCGTACACCCTTCAATTTTTACTTGTCATAACAGTGTCTATGAAGAATGTCCGACAAGCAGTAGTTTCCCGTTACCTTCTGTTCCTGTCAAATTCAGATTACATAGGATACATACGAGAGACAGAAAATATTGAACGCAGTAAACGCATGTGAGACTTAAAAAGCTAATTGCAGGTAGCGATGTTACTGTGAAAACTGTTAAGCTATTAAGGCTTATCAAAGCAAGAAACTGAACAAAGAACAGTACCGAAATGGGCATTTCGCATTTTACCTCGAATTCGACAAAGGTCGAGCGAACCTCTGTTGCATTATGCTAGGCCTGGCAGCCCAAACAAATCGAGATACTCAGACCAGTACACCACCCAGTTGGAGTTTTTTTTATCAAATGACTGGCTTGCATTAAATTCGCACGTTTCAATATCTATATGACACGGTCGAACGCGTCCTTAGCCATCAGTATGATGCCTTCTACTGTGTGATGTGTCTGACGACTATAACAGCAAAAAAGGCCCGTAACCCAAGAGATAATAATTAACTATCCGTATTAATTATATCGATAATTCACTATATGGCTGAATATCAACTCTGTGCTACACAAAGAAAAACAACCAAAAAATAAGTATTACATAGTGCTTTTTTTCATTCTTGGCAAGATACAAGGCAAAAAATGCCCAAGATCCTTTAATTTACAGGCTGATGTATGACTTAGTGAACTTCTATATATTTCCAGCAAAACAAGACTGAACGGAGTTCAAATCCTCTGCATGTATCGTCGCCGTTTCTTTATAGCTGATTCACGAAGCGCACTCTTATCGGAGAGAGTAGTAAATAGGAAGCATACATGGTTGACGAAAAAGGAAACAGACAAACTATCGAACACCTTTTAAAGGTGTATATTGTCATAATACATACGAAACATCTGGTCCACGTTTATGCATTCTAGCAATGTCTTTTTTTTCCCAACATTAGTCGAATTTAATTCAAATATCTGAATATCTTTTCAGAGTTGCGCGTGGAAAACGTTCGGTCATACTCTACGCTCAGTATGAATGTTTGAATTATACGTGCCTCGATCTACGTAGCAAAATAACAATAGAAGTGCGGTAACAAATGATCTACTCAACAAATGTTGTGCTGTACAAATTGCTAGCGTATTATTCTTTTTTTTTTCTTTTAATTTAGCAAAGCCGTTTTGAAGCTTTCAGGGACGACGAGTTGACTGAAGTTAACTTCGATTTACAGTGAAACAAGCTCGGTAATAAAGAACGCCACTACCGATAACGACTGTAGAACACGGCATTACTTCACCAATCTATGGCTTGGCTTTATTCTCTCTCAGAATCCCCACCCTTTCCCAATCCTATTCGCCCTCTCCGATACACCTGCGCGGCATCTGCAAACCCACAGATGTGGCCAGAGGAGCTCGAACAGCATGTAAGGTCACCTGTACACATTTGCTTAGCTTACATGAGAGTGTCGCTTTGAGTAAACATGGAACAGAGGCGATCCGCATAAATTATTCAGGATTAAGTTTGTGCAGTTGGATGGCAAACCCATGGCCATAGAAAGATTTCAATTCTGAAACGGCAAAGCCGTAAAGACTATTTAGTTTGTTGCGGACAGAACTAATTTCAGATAAACCTTGTTTATAAAAATTATTCACAGGGGTTGTGCTGTCTTGCCAAGAGAAGCAGCGCAGACTAGTAATGTAAAGGAAGCCAGACAACTTGTTCATAGAAATGTGTGGTACCTAAGATCTCTAAGTGCTTTCCTAGTGTCAGCTTTATTGTGATTTGCCTCTTATTGGATAAAAGATCAAGGACTGAATAGTCATTCTCTATTTGCGAAAGTGGATACAACGGGAAACCACAATAGCCTGAGGTAAGGATTCAATATATATAACAATTGGCTGTGATGCCCTGGCACGCCCGTGCTAATGCATCACTAGCCGAGCTTGTGAGATAAATTATACACTTTTGTAACTTTGAAAATTAATTTGGCTATTAAACGTAGATAACGCTTCTCCATGGTAGATGAGTTGATAACGTATTTGGTACTAATATTAGGGACACGTTGTGGTCGAGCATAGACACATTTTAACTTGTGCTGGGAGTTCGGGACTAACGTGTCAGGGGCAAGTGAATTCGTTTGGTTGAAATCCATTTATGAACGATGCGGTGCGTGCTATTGCCCATAATGAATGTCCCAATGGGGTAGACCCGTAAAGAACTCTCAACAAATCCATCCTGAGTGCATTTGGCACAGGAGGATTCGTTGCCTTTTATGGAACTGCTTGTTAATTGTAGGTATTTCCGCGCTCATGCTAACGTCCGATTTAATTCAAGCCTTACAAGTCGTGCCTTTGTAAATGGAGTGGACTTTTGCTTTGGCAGGGATGATTCGACTGAGACGTTCCGGAGTTTTGACGATCTTGTGCCTGATACCGGGCCATTAACATATAGGAAAGAGGGCCAGGAAGTGGTTGGCGATTTTTTTTATTTAGAAAGGTATGCTCTATTGCAATAGTCGATTTTTATGTCAACTGCTATGATTGCTCCTTTAGGATATTCATTTCACTAGGTTCAGCGAATCAATGCATTTGATCCTCCGCTTCTGGTCAAGTTTTGGAAAGTAGTTTTTCCTTTTGTATTTATTAGTGCTAGAGAGAAGGAAAGTGCTATTTTCCGTATAGTGCCGTTTCACTCGAATTCAAGCAACAGATTGATTAATTCTGCGCTTACCGTCATTCATCTCAGCCAGATCTCCAATCTGTCAAAACCGTTTGTCAGATTTTCCCACCGAAAATTCGGGTGTTATGTTAAGAAGCTGGTCCACTTAGCTTTTAAGACCCTTTTCAGTCCTAAATGTGAGGCCACTAATTTCATTTGCCAATGATCAGAAAAAGTGGTAATCCATAGGGCACGAGGTCTGGGTACAAACTAGTACATAGGTTTTCTTCTGTGTAGGTATATATTTAACCGTGCATGTGCATTGCAGAAGCTGTTATAAGTGGCAACGTGGATTGTTGGCATGCGGCGTAAGAACGAAGGAATCTAGTTTTAACCATTTTGATAATGGATTATCTCGTGTAGGCGGTGGGCAAAGTTCGACTTCAAACCTAAAGATTTGCTACTCTACTGCTTTCTTAGCAAGCCTTCAACAAGCACGTACTTAAGCTTTTGTAGGTCCTTAGTTGTTAAAGCGTTGAGGAGGCGTAGTAGGGTTGAGCCCAGCCTATGCACTGGAAGGGTCAGGTGGCATCAGGCTAATTATGCTTTGTATGATATCGAAATATTGTCGGAAAAGTACATGTTGCTGCAGACAACGCTTTGTTGTCCAATAGTGTTTTGTAACGCGATTCAAATAATGGACATATAAAAAAAATGTTAGTAAAGTAATTATATAATATTATAATAACCAATCCCACAGTTATTCATATGCTGCTATGCTATCCATAGCATAAGTATCCATGTGACATTTCTCTCATTGAAAATGTGTAAGACCGGTATTGACGGCGTATTTCATCATGGGTATGGCCACTTTGTAAAATTAGTCTAAGTCGCCGGCTTCTTAAGCTAGCAGAACCACTGCTTTGGTTATCTAATGGCGAGCAACAGGATTGTCGATTTGATAGAATAGCCGGAACTAAATACCTGAAGTATCCGAGGTAATATTCAGGCTAAAGCTGAGGGTCATCAAACGTTGCGCAGATGATCCGTATAAAAAGCCAAATAGAACGAAGGCGGAATGGAAGCTGTGGATGATTTCCGCCCGTAAACATACGTGCCCATTACTAGCAGTTTATTTGTACATCTTAACGTCAAATTGATTTCCGTGTATATTAATAGCGCTCTCTAGCTTATTAAGAGACGTGGATTGAATAGGACGTTCGAGTATTTTAGAGTCGCGCCTGCCGCTGAATATGTTCCTGCAAGAGAATCAGCACAACTTATATACTTGATTACAAATATGATCACAGTTGAGTCTAATGAAAAACGTACCGTTCATGCTACCTTGTTAACGCCTTTCGCACTGTTGGTATTAAAAATGACATAGTAGCTCGCGCTTACTCTTAGAATAATTGTTGAGCTTGCGGAGTGAGTCTCTGCGAAAAGATTTCTGACCTGATGGCCTGTATCTCTGCGTTCACCTACCAGTAATTCCAGTGAGCATGACCGCAAAAAATAAGCTATGCAATCATAGTCGGTCACAGAAGTATTTAGGTAAACTAGTATGGGTAATAATGGGGTAGATGCCTTGATGTTTAGTCTCGACCTGCGAGGTGTTCAGGATTTGGATTTCAATTAATGTAAGAATGGAGGAACGAATAAACACATATTGCTTAGCAACAGCTTAGGGCTCGCTTAGTTAGCAGTTCACAGGTAATTCATTGAAATACAACATTGATAGTATTAGATCAATAGATGCGGGAAATCCAATAGCATACACTCACTGAAAGTTGCAATCTGAAATCGCCGGGATTAATTGACTAGGGTCTAAACCTAGCCTTACGGCCCATATGTTTCCATATGGTAAGATTTCGGCATTTTGATCTATATATTCAACTCGCTTATGGCACTACTTTAGGCAAAGTTTGAGGATACAGAGCGATTGATCGCTTAGGAAGACCGCTGAGCCCGCAAACTGCACCAAAGGACTCTCAGCCACCACAGCTACAAAGCGGGAGAAAAAAGCAGAGATAAGGAAGAGGCAAAACTTTTTATTTAAAAATAACTACAAACCTTTTTGCCTTATAAAATTTTCATCAGCCTTGCAACGAGTTATAACATTTGCGGGTTGTCGTTCATACAGGGAGCCTACGAAAAGTCAGAGGAAAGGGTAGAGTGTCAGCCAGGCCGTTGTCGCTATTAATGCTAATTCGTCAGCGCCACGGAGTACCGCAAAAAACATTGGTGTAATTGGTGTAATAATTTATTCTAATTTTATTTTGACAAACCTGCTGGCCAAAATGTTCATGTATGTACAGCCAATAAACGCCTAGAGCTCGTGTAGCTTAAGTACGTCAAAACTGATCCCAATAAAAGTACACATGTACAAGCACGAGAGCTTGTGATTCAGTGATCGGCTGTTCGCATTTAGCTGGGATACGACCGGACAGTTCAGGAAGTACGGTAATATATCTTCATCGCATAGCAAAAATAACAACACCGTCCTTAGTATCAGACACAGCCTTTTAGGTGTTTTGTAGCAGACGAGTCTGTTCATACTTTCGGTTGCAGCTTGTATAAATCATGGACCTTGTGACGATCCCGCATTTTGAAACTGAAGGATGCGTACAAGGTGTCCGACGAAGAGATCGCTGACGCGTCCTTATCAAATATTCGTGCGGTCGTGTTGCGGTAATGCAAATAATTTTGCCGAGCATCGAAGCGAAGATCTAAGAACAAAAGAGCAGAGACGTACGTAAGTGCAACAAAATAAATGAAAAACAATTATCCCACAAAGAAGCGCTAGTGACGTTACATGATATATAATTATTCACTATATGTAAAGACCTTTGCTACGGCCTCACAATCTATCTCTTCTGCCAATCTTTATATATGGTAATTTCAATGCAGGAATGTACCTATACATAAGGGGTACATAAGGCATAGTAGTGGTACACCTCGTTCAGGTATCAGTAATGTCAATGTCATACAGTCGACTAAGGTACGTCTTTTGAATGAGAGAGCGTAAGCCAATGTAGTCAAGCGAATTTACTCTATCTACGAATTACTCATTCCCCTTCGGCACTATCTTGATTAATAAAATGAATCCGTTCTATTTAGATATTGATAGCACTATATATATATATATATACTGTTTTCCTGCAATGAAGGGAACGCATAATACATGTGTCAGACAAGAGCTCAAACCGTATTGTATACCTTACAATGTACAATACCTTAGTTTGCTAAGAGGACAACTTTTTCAGATTATGACCGTCAGGATTACGGGTCCGACATCTTTTTCATCCAACTAATCATTTTTGAATGAATCCTTAATTTTTACTGGAAAAAGGATTCAGGGAAACTAAAACGAATGGCTTAACGTCGCCTTTCATTTCGCATAAAACTGTATACGCTAATTGTCAGATTTACAAACGAGAACATGTTTTTTTCAAGCCCTGAGATCTGTCCTTATATTTAGAACAACCCGATTAGCTTAGCTGTAAGCGGTTCAGGTCACTGAATCCTTTGCAGCTTGAATTGAGTTTTCCTCGATATATCACGTATTAGCAAGCAGGTCGTCAAGTAAACTAGAAAATGTAAGGCTAACGTAGAGAAAAAACGAAAGCCGAAATACTAGACAACCATTTAGCATCAATTAGCAATCTAATAAATGTTCTAACGGCGCCGACAGTATCGTTAATGACCTAATTGGTAGTTAAAACATTTCCTGTGCTTTGTCCTCACGCTGTGCCCATCTACTTTTCAAGTTGTCATTAAAGTAGAAATATCTCTCTATTGTCTCCATTCAAGAACTTAAATTTATATGATGCTCGCAATGAATAACAATAGTAACAACAATTATATAGTCGAAATATTAATAATCAAAATCCGCAGCCTATTTTTGGAATATGCAGTACGGATTTGCTATGACCGCATTCACTGTAGTAAAAGGAGCGCACTTACGTTAACCGATACGAGGACACGTGGCGCCTTCACTCGCTTGACGATTTGGAAATCGCAAGTACTGAAGTTGGGCAAATCTATGTGCCCTTTACGTACATTCGTAAGCTTCGTACTCAAGGCTCTATGGCTTGGCAATTGACAAGATCTACAAGGGCCTTGTTACAACAGGCCTTACATGGTTTTCGCGGCTAATCTGAATGAGTAGCCATTTTACCAAGTATTCTAAAGTTGAACTTTCATCCTTTG